CACTTGTATAATATTTAGTATTATATTTTGGTTCACCCTAGAAATATTTTATATTTAAGTTTTTACTATGTATAATATTTTACTTTTTTTTTTACATTTTGAAAAAAAAACGAAATCCCATAGAAAATGCATGCGGGTCCTTTTTGACCCACTTATGGAAGCTTGGGGTGGAAATACAAAAACTACAATTTCTTAACATTTGAATTGCATGATATCCAAAACATGTTTTTTGAGGAATAGCTGGAATATGAAATGATAAAAAAATGTAATTACAAAGATACTCCAAGAAAACCACCTCACCGGGTCTAAAAAGACCCACTTATGCATCTAAGGGTTAAGCTGTGCTGTAGTTACCGCCGTCTCTCCCTCTCTGTCCGGTCATTCTGAACCCTCTGTGTGTAATATTTACCCCTGTTTATGTATAATAAACCCGTGTTTATGTGTCATATTAACCTGTGTTTCACCGTGAGTTTTCTCATCCGGCAGCTAACTGCCAACACAATGCTAACTCAGCTAGCATCACACCTCCTGTTTAAACAGCACTATTGGACGATGATAGTAAACCGTAAACTGTAACAATATGGTGAGAACAAATATTAACTCAGTTTGAACTGCATTATTTTTGCCGTTAAACAAAACATGACCTCTCGTCCTACCTTTTTCAGCAGCCCAGCCATTTTCCTCTGCGGACACAACTATTTCCGGCTAGTAAATATGACGTCAGTGATGGCGCCTTTCAAGACACCGAAGCTCGCCCCTTAGTGTTATAAAAATATATGATTCTATACAAACACAACGTTTAGCCACAGCATCATTAAAAGGGTATACAAATAATGTTAAAATGACAGAATACGGCAACTTCCTGTTTGTATGGACAGTATGATCTTAACCATCAGCACAGCGTTTATTGACCTTGTGTGGAAACAATTGATTTTGTCCAAAACTATCTTATTCACAAATGTTGCTTTTTCAAATGTACCCAGTTTTCAGTGTCTTTATAAATGAAATTATACTAAATCAATTACAAAAGATTTATTAAATTATGCAAAAGTAAAAAAGCACTTTAATTCCTGAATGACCACTTCTGTTTTTTTTTCCCTTTCTGTTCAAAAAGCCCTCAGTTTTGTGAATTGATGTTTATGTACATTTTTATTGTGTACTTGATATAATTTTTAAGGATTAAAAATACAATTAAAAAAAGTCTTTAAAATGAACAGTAGACTCCTCTGCGTGGCGCCCCCTGCTGCCTGTCAGCATGAAGTCATTCATAGAAGGTATTAGTTTCCGCGTGGGTTTACTTTGGAAGTTTTTCCTTGTACGATGTGAGGATCTAAGGATACAGGGTGTCGTTTTTGTCATACTGATATTCTGAACAATCTGTGCTGTTGTATTTGCTGTAAAGTGGCTATTTTTATTACATGTACAGCACTTTGGCTCGACCAAAAATCGTTTATAAATGTGCTATATAAATAAAACTTGATTTGATTTGAACCATTCTTTCAAGTCAAGTTATTATAAAGAAGATCAATGTAATGATCAGTTCTTATTGGATCATTCATTTTCTTTGATAAGTCTTTACACAAACTTTACAAAGATTGATGAATATCTTAAAACACTTCAAAGTGATAGCCTTATCCGACACACGGTTTAATGTGGACAGTGACCAGTTGACTGTATGACAACAGTAGTTGAAGATTTGATGGAATGTTTAACTGTGGAAATTAAAATGGAAGAGTAGAAATATTGTTGTGGCATGTGTATTTGTAGAACAAATACTGCTGAAAGGAAATACAAGTGAATAATAAACTCAATAATAAAATGACCAATATTATAATTCTTTTTTGGCTTGTCTCATAATAACAAAATGTTAATTGATAGAGATAATATTAGGCACACTTGGAAAATCCTTAAGGATATAACCGAGTCATTTTATTAATGGTAATAATCAAGTTTTCCAGGCCGACTTGTACGGAGAAAGCAACGTGTTGAACTCCTTATTCCTTGGAGAAGTGAGTGAAATTAAATCCATTGTTGTAAAATCAAAAAGACATGGAATGACAGTGATGAGACATACATACTTACATTATTATTGTAATAGAAAACGATGGACTGTGTAAGCAAACAGTGACGTTACATGGTAACTGTGGTACAGTGGGTTAGTGCGCTGATCCTCGGATTTCCTGGTTCAATCCCCACTGCAGTCAGTATGTCCCTGTGCAAGCCCAAATTGTGCCTGTGGTGATTGTCCTCAGTATTAGTTATTTATTTGTTTACAGTTGCCAACACATTAAAATATCACATAAAGCATAATTATTTAAACTCACACTCAAAGAGCAACAGCTGTGCTCAAATCTCTGCAGTTAAACTGTTGAAGTCTTTACCTAATGATTTTAAGGGCTGTAGACAGTATGAAGAAGACAGGTAACCTGTTTCTCTGATGGTAGATTGTTGTGTTGAGTTTTGGTTTCATGTTACTAGAAGTATTTGTAAGCAACTGGGATTGACAGGCCATCTATTCCTGAGTACAATAAGACTTTCTGCTCCCTGCTCCTGTCCATCAAAACAGCTTCAAGTGTACATGTTTTATCATATTTGCCATGAGTGGAATAAAACTATAATAATCCAAAGTCAAATTGTATTGGCAGACTTCAGTGCAAGTCACAGTTCTGAGTTTAAAGGCAGAATTTTATTTTCAAAGTTCTGCCCTTAAACCCAAACACGTTTTCCAGGTGACCATAATCCTTTCTTATTATGTATATTTCTTGGAAGATCCTCATTATGTACTGGGTCGTTTAGCCACTATACACACAGATAACAGAATCACGTTACAGAACAGGCTTTTTTATGACCACAATGTATTCCTGATGGGAAAACTATGTCGCTAGCTAGTGTAACAGAAACATGCAGATTGTTGCCGTGGTGATGAACAGTAAAGACTTCAGAGCGAGTTCAGGTTGGAAAAGTTTAATGACATCAAACCAGAGCAATGCCAACTATATGCACATGACCAATATCATCAGTTTTAAACATCTATTTAAAAATGTTCGGCAGAAAACAAAACGTCTATCTACAGTACAGTAACAAATTCAAAGTATAAAAATATATTACAAATCTCAAGTATTTACAAGGACAGCTTCTCTACACGCGTGTCTACAGTTAGTTTTCAGTCTAGTCGTGTTACCTAAACACCTCCCTGTACATGCCTCTGTAAACTCAGCTCTAAGGCAGAAACACTGCCGGCCCCTGACAGCCATGGCAAATAAGTCACTAAACTCCCAGCATCCTCTGGGAGAAGGAGGAAGGGAGAAGAGGAACATTGAGATGCAGATGAAGAGGAAACATCATCATCTCCTCCTCCTCCTCCTCCTCCTCCTCCTCCTCCTCGAGGTGGGACAAACAGGAAGTGACAGTGGAGTTCACCTGGAAGGGGTTAGAAGAACATCCTGTAGAGGAAAAGAGAGAGGGTCAAATATTGGTTTCTAGCAACGTCCAAAAGTACACCTTTGCATGGTCACCAACACACACCTGTAGATGTTGGGGTCCAGCAGCACCGCGGTGTCTGTGGGGAGCTTGGACAGGTGGACCACCTTGGTCTTCTGCTGCAGTCTGTCTCCCTCGTTCACCCACACATCTGGCAGCCTGGGGGGGGGGCACAGTTACAGTTCAGCTCTGTATGCAAAGCAGCTGCAGCTCTGTATGCATGGCTCATGACATCAGTGTGTATAGTATTTATATATACACTCATTAGAGTAGCTGCCCCTGCTCCTAATACAGTGGTTCAACCTGTTCTTTTTTTGTGAGTGGCCTTAAAGGTCCCATGTCATGCTTTTCTGGTTATTACCCATCCCCTTGTGTGTTATGTAGCTTTTTATGCATAGCCACTTTCACAACAAGTACCTTGCCGTACTTAATGCCAGCACTTAGTACCCCCATGGAACTAAGTAGAGATCGCGTTCAAGTTCCCTGAGGGTTCCCTGAGGGTGGATTAGGCAAATGAAGCCGCTGACGTCACGTACTTTTTCCCCCCCGCAGGATAGTACCACCTCTCTAGCAGGCACTAAACATGGGGGTAAAAGTTCTCGGCACTAAGTACTCTTTTTGGTGTGAACGCAAAATAAGGGGTACTAACGGAACTAAACGGGAAAAGTACTCCGGTGTGAACGCGCCTCATGTAAACGGTCTGCAGAGTCACAAACCCTCAAAGTACACCCTGTAGCGAGTAAAACTCTAAAACAGAAAAGACCTGTCTATGCTGCCCCAGAACGCTTCTCTTTTTCTTCCTGGGTACAGTGACGTATTTGGGTATAGTGCAGTTACGTTACGTCTGCGGAGCCGTTACGTAACACACTCGATCTTTTCTCAGCTGCAGCTCCCCGGATTTATCAGCCTGAGACGGTGGACGTGGCGAGGCTGTGAGTCGGTGTGTGAGCACACACACAAACTCCCAGCCAGGCTGCGGGTGTGTGTGTGTGTGTGTGTGCTCTGGCTGGTTTCGGGCTAGGTTTAGCTGTGTCTCGCAGACGGCTACGGGGCTCACAAGGGGGGAGAAGAGCGGGACTCACATGTCTTCAGGCGTCCAGTGCAACAAGACCTTCACTTTCCCAGAGTCCTCTTTCCTCCTGGCTATTACCTAAACACACAGACACAGGCATGAAAATCTAAACAAAACAACAAATTAATTCCTGCAGTGTGTGTGTGTGTGTGTGAGAGACAGGTACAAGTGTGTATATGTATTATATATTCAATTGCAGCACTTTCTTTACCCTTCCATCATGCTGAAACGTAATTAGATTATGAATTGCCACCTATGTTCATGATATCGTGTGTGTGTGTGTAGCCCAGAGAAGGCTCTGAAGGACTGCAGCCGTACGAGGCCGCCTACCTCTCCAAGTCCCTCTCACGCCTGTTTGATCCCATCAACCGTGTGTGTGTGTGTGTACTCACCTTGTAGAATCTCCGCAGTAAATGCAGACTTTCTTCTCTACCACCCTAAAAACACAAACATGAAGTGTGAACAGTATGAAATGATTGCAAGGCCGTGTGTGTGTGTGTGTGTGTGTGTGTGTGTGTGTGTGTGTGTGTGTGTGTGTGTGTGTGTGTGTGTGTGTGTGTGTGCCTGCCCACCGTGCTGTGGAACACCACACTGTGTCCGTTGCCCAGGCTCTCGATGTGTGTGGCCAGGTTGAGGCAGATGGCTCGATGGCGGATGGCGTCCATGGTCTGAGCGTCAAAAAAGTCATGAGGTCGGGCTGGAAATAAAAACATGTTTCAAATAGTACTCGCAGGCACCTGATGAGTACTTTGTATTTGAAGTTGGTTGTGTGTGTGTGTACATACGCAGGGAGCGTTTGTGTTTGTTCTTCAGTTTCCTCCTCTTGTTGAGGCCAGCCTTGGATGGGGACTCCTCCTTCAGTTTGCCCAGGTTGGACACTTTGGATGAGCTCTGGGAGCTGAAGTGAGTGGGGACGTGACGGGCCAGCCCCCCCTGAGAGGCAAACGTGGCATTGCAGCCCCCTACCACACACTGCGGGAACACTTAAAGAGTCAGGGATGTGCTGTGGTCCAAAGGCTGAGCAGCATGTATTCTGCCTCTGGGTGGATGGAGTGGAGTGTGTGGTGTGTTTCTCACCTTGAAGGGCTTGTCTCCACTGTGGGTCAGCATGTGTCTCTGCAGCCAGCTCTGACTGGTGGATGGTGTGTTGTACACCTTGCAGCCCTTCCAC